TTTACCTTTCCAGGGTGATCATACAAGGGAGAAAGGTCTGAGAATAAAGATGGAACCCCCTGAGACCACCAAGAAAATATATCATTATTTCACCCAACAAACTAAAAACACCAGTCAAACTAACACAAAAAAGAAAAAAAAAATCTCAATTGGATGTATATACCTTTGTTAGAAGAGGCTTAATGTAATTAAATGCTGCTTCACAAAATTTGTCTCCTTGCAGAAAATCAAGAGGTATCCTCTAAAAATTGAGAAAACAAAGTTCTAATATAAGTCCACGTCAATTCTCTAAGGGTGAAGCATATGAAAGCATAATTTTAACCACCTAGAGTTCTTACAATTGTCACATCAAGACATCAATTAAGTATTTCAGCATAATACCACAACTATCTATTTCTAGATTATTTAAGAACATCACAAGCTATTGAATGGATTGTGTCTGTTGTAGAAGCACATCACTAGATTTTTGTCACATAATTTCTTATCAAGCCATCAAGAAAAATAAGATCCCTACAAGAGTATTTGTAAAAATAGCCACCCTTCCTCTCTCTAGAAAAGGGGAGAAAGCTTGACAGCTCTGCAGAAAAGTAAGGTTTTCGTTGGATTTGCATCATGTGATTCCATAAATAGGAGAGAGAGAGAGAAGAAATCCAGAGTAAATATAATGAACAGAACATCCCAAGGTACCATTTGGAGCTCATAAAAAAAATAATAAAAAAAAAGAGATACAAAACAGAAAATGAAATTAATATGACTAACAGTTAAGACATAATAAAACAGTTTAGACTAGCACATTCCACCACTAGGGAGTTTTTGCAATAAACAGAATGTATCGATAACATCCATCATAAATTCCTAATGAAAACAGAAGCACAACATAAATCCATCACCTTAACTGCACAAGACCAAGTTACTATTGTGAAAGTGATTGTGTAATGCATCAATCGATCAAATTCATCAGAGGGATACTTGGCATTTTCAGAATACAGGCCAAAGCATTTCTGCAAGCCTTCATAATATCTGAAAAATATACATATACAAATACAAAATTGTAAAGTTGGTTGGCTCCTGGTTTATCAGACCTAATAGCAATAAATTGCGCCGATATATAGGCATATACTGAGTGAAGAGACATAAGTTAAACAGTTCTGTGAAAGAATTTTCCTCATTTCCCAATCTGAGAAAGCACCCAAGAGACTGTTGACACATATAGTAGTATAGAATTACAGTTCTGCTCATAGTTGCTTGCTACTTTTAATTATATTTATATATGAGGTGGTGCATAATGCTTCTTTTACTAAAGAGCTAAGCAAAGGGCTTGACAGGACAGAGAGATATAAAACAATCCCAAGAATGAAAAAAATAAAAATAACCTCATTTTATGTAAAGATACCATGATGTAAATGTAACACGCACAAGTATAAGCAAAAGCTTAAAGAAACAAAATTTAAAACTAAAAACGAATTGAATTTGTGACATAAGGGATACAACACTGATTAGTTCAAGCTTAAAGGACCAACGAAAATAGAGGCATAAAAAATAATGACTATTCTATAAAGTTCTAACATAGGTAAAGAATTTGGGTGTACTACAAGAAGAATTGAAAAACCTATTATCCCAACAAAATATATTTAAACACACAAACTATTCAGAATATTAATTATTCTTCATTTCCTACAATAATAATACACCACGGCATGAGAAAAAGAAGTCAATTATAACTTCAAGAAGTGCTATATAAAAGGAAAGAGTTGACTAATATTCTTTGCTATGAAAGATTTATTAATGACCTTAACTAGGTGTTTCAAAAGAGTACCCAATGCATAAGACTCACCTGTAATTGTCAGGGTTCATGGTAAGTAAAGCCTGTAATATTGGCACCTTCTTCTAGGCATCCAAGTTTCACCAGGAGAGAAACCTCTTGTTCTTATAAGTCAATTTATCAACCTAGAATAATAGAATTGGTTAGAATTTTAATGTCCAAAAATTCAAAACTTACAAAATTTTTAATGTTAAAAGTATTCAGGCATTATACATTTGACACGTACTATTTTGGCTCTTTCTTATACAATTCCTCAAGTGCTCTCTCAAGAAACCCAGATTCCTCTAGGCAAAGAGATCTGGAGAAAAGTACCATACCCTCATAAACATCAGAAAGCAGCAGGGGGCACCACTAGTCTAGATGTACAGCATCCCATTATGCATAATGAATGTAGTTATGCATATTTCTATGCCAATATATTATTAAAGAAACAAATGCTACTGCAAGGGCTAAGGCTTGTAGTACTTGTCCAATTGCGTTAAGCTGTTTTCGAATCGTGTTAATGGTGTTAAACCAAAAAAGAGTAGTCAAAAAGGAAGATAGAGTAATTATATTAAGATGTAGAAGCAAAAATTTCCGAAATGGTTCCACAGAACATATAATTGGAGATTAGCAATTATTAAGTTTCAGAGCTGCTAAGTACAAACACCACAGATATGATTACTGGTAGAAGGCCCACAATTAGTGAACAAGCCATATTCTCTCTAACATGAATACATCAAGACTTAAATATCTTATAGATGCCAAATACCACTATAGGCCACTAGTTAGTCCTCCATCTCAGATTAAAGTAAACTTGGAGATGATTTAATTTAACTTATCAGCCATACACACAGAATCATGAAAAGCCATACTTCACAAGTAGAAAAAATGGGTGTAACATGCACATGAAAGTAGATGAGATTTTGGCAATAAAATAAGCAGAAGGAAAAAAGAAGTTAAGAAGAAATGGGTAGGTTTTCTAATTGCATGTGAAAAAAATTAGAATTAATTCAAAAAAGGGACCCCATTTATAAAGAAGGTAAAGGCATTAAAAATCTTTAATTTTTGTATATTTAATTACTTTATTTGGTTTATGGATAATTTCACTAACTGTGTTGGCATCTGGTTAACAAGTGGCACCAAATCAGTCACTCCCATTCTACGTTAGTATAAATTCTAAAATTTTGAATGTCTGTATAATGAAGTCAACTCATGTGAAATTACAGCCACATCCCACATACAAATGCATGCAAAAAAAAAGAGTTGAAGTACACGACCAATACCTTATATAAAAGCATTTCACCATGCTCACAACGTTCATTATCTGGTGGATAATCATCTTCTAATGTCCCTTCAAATGCTTCCAAAATTTCAACTGCTTTTGCACCACTAATATCAACCAAAAAAAGCAATACAGCATAAATACCTAAAGGATGAATGAAATTAATAAGACTTCATTCACTTAGAACTACTCGGCTAAGACAGGGACAGAAAAGGAAAAACCCTCGTAACTGTTGTGCCAACAACTTCAATTCATTCATATATAAAGCCAAATGAAAATATGGCATCATCATTGTCTCCATATAAAACTATAGCAAAAACAACAGAACTCTGCAGTTAACTAGGCATTGTTTGTAAAAGGCTAATTTGCAACCAAATTTCATAAATGCAAGTGCAACCAGCTTAGAATAGTAGGGTACCTATCTATCTACCCACCTATCTATACATATTAGTAACATCTTTAACACATTCTACACCCACAATATATTGTCATAAAAGAAGTTTGATACCTTATTGGATGTTTAGTTGAAGTCATACAAACAATATGAACCACGTGTTAAAAATCAACAGTAATTTCATCCATGTTAGCACCCATTTGATCATATAATTAGAAACATTAAGTCCTGATTAAGCATTTAATTTAAAGAAAGGCTTTCATTATATCAACAAATATTTCAACTTTCAATACCAAAAGGCCCTTCAATTTGGACCTTCAAGTATACATAACAATAACAACACTCTAAAACATGTTTCATAAAATAAAAGTCAACAGAAATTGGTGAAAGTTAGCATAAGAATTGGAACAAATTTTTTTAAGAAAAAAATAAAGGACAAGTACTTTGAGTTTAAATGGTGGGCTACAGCAAAGCCAATCCAGTTCACGCGATGATTTGGTTTCAAATGCAAAAGTTGTTGTCTTGTATCAACAAATCCTGTCAAATCTCGCATTTAACTTTTCAAATCTTAGTAGAAAGACAAATGCTCATCATCTTCATACTTTTTCCTTTAACTTTTCAAGGCATATAAACCATAAATAAGGGGGGGGGGGGCACAAATAAGTTAATGCCAACAAATGACTTAATCATCTGAAATCATGAGTTAAGAATCCATAGTATGGCAAGCGCTAAAGCATCGAGGGAGAATAATAGAAATGAAAATCATCAATTTCAGTATCAAAGACGCCGACTTTTCTTACTATTCTGGAGCAGTAAGGCACATGGGCAGATGAAATTAAGAGAAGAACCGAACCAGATCTGATCCAGAAAGTATAAACACTTTCTAATTGCAAAGGTCATTAATGTTAAAACTTCAACCATTAAGGAACTAGTAGAAATGAGAAGAAAAAGTTCTGTGGCGGTAGACCAGAAAGTATCAATTCAAGGTGGTTGATTCTTACAGGATAATGAGAATGAAAGGATCAATCGACTGGTTGCTTCTGATTATATTACTTGTCATTCTATAAACACTTTCAACCATTAAGGAACTAGTAGAATGAGAGATAAAAAGGATCTGCGGGATAGACCAGAAACTATCAATTCAAGGTGGTTGCTTGTTACAGTATAATGAGAACGAAAGGATCAAATCAGACTGGTTGCTTCTGATTATATTACTTATGTTTTATTTTTGCGTGTGCCTCAAAACAAAACCTTCAATTAAGATACTAAATCTGAACCATCTCTCATATTAATCTGCTGCCAGAATATCAGATGATGTCTGTTATATCCTTTTCCTTCCCCTAAAGCCATAAATTGTTTCTACCAAAACTATGATCTAAATTTTCAAAGTTATAAAACCAGCTGACTCATCTACTTTCTAAGTGTTTAAGAAGATATTTTTTTCATGGTCTCATACAGCCTCTCCCTTTTAGTTGAGTTATCTCCATAAATTCCATTCCTCTGTTTTAAGCCATATATCTTCGTCTCTTTTGTTACTATCTTAATATAATTATGCCTTTTCCATCCATCTACTAGTAGATTCCCGTCAAGCAACTAAACAGCTTCAAATTTCATAAAATTTATTTTCACTTCATTACTAACTATGTAGCTGATCTTAGTGTTTTTATCCAGTTATATTAAGTTACCCCAATGAACCTGCCCTTACCAACTACCACATAACTTACAGTTGCACAAAAGTTGGCACCAAACTATTTTAGTTGCAATATTGACTTGCCTATAAGTACCCTAATACTTAAGATTCTCAAATTCTACAATGGAATCTGAAAAAATCTTTTAGGCAAACCACAAAGCTTACAAGAAATCTTATACAGAGAAACTCCTTTAAATGTTCAAAAAATACCATGACAAGCAAATGTTCTTACTTAACATTAAGCATACAACAGATAAACATCTTAGATTTAACACTGAGTCTAGATGTACAAATCATAGAGAAGGAAGGTAAATAAGGTATACCTGCAAGAGTAACAAGTCCCGTAGTATTTCAATGTTGTCTGCGAATTCTAATTCATCAAAGCGTATACGATAGCATTTGATAGCCTCCCTGTATTCTCTATCTGACCGATACAGGAGACCATAAACGTGCCAGGCAAACATGACTTTTGACATCATTTCTACACTAAAGACACAAACATTGAAAACAATGTTAGGGAAAAAGTGACACTGCTTGGACATTATACCAACCAAAAGGAAAATAAACAAGATAACCTGTACAACTTAGCCGAACAAGCTCATAAGCTTCAGTTTTCCGATCCATGCCAATTTAAGGTTAACCCCTTCATTGACAATGTTTCTGACAATAATGAATAAAAGCCCATATGACAACATACAAACACAACAAACAAACAGTTACCAGATAGTATAAATATTACTTGGAAACTGCATATTTAAAAGGATGGATATATTAAACAAAACGCTACTACCCACTCTACCCAATACGCAACAATGAATATTCACAAACCAACCAAGATGAAGAAGGTATTCAATATTGCAGATTTCAAACTGTATAGGTTAAAAATGTAGTTATATACCCGAAATTAATGCAATATATTCAGTGATAGAGAATATCTCCACATTGATACTGCTAGAATGTTCCACTTATCTCTAGAAACCATCATAAATCATGGACTAGTCACCATACAGCTAGTGCTTTCAAAAATGCAATTGACATCAATCATAAGACATGAGAAAGGAACATACAGTCTACAGAAACAATCATGTCAAACTTAGAGGCATTCTTGTAAGGATATGAAACCAATAACCTTGATAACAACATAAACTATCTAGTGACAGCCCCTTTTTCCTCTAAAGTGTAAAGTTCTTTTTGTTTCAGAGTTCTTGCATCTTTATACAGGTACATTTACAAGAACCATGCAAACATAAACACTAAACAATAAGTGCCTTCTCAGCCAAAAACAAATAAATAAATAAGTGCTTAAAATTAAAACAACCTCCATGGTCAGGAAACTTTTTCAGTATTGCATCTGCAGCCTTCAGTCCTTTCTTGTTACTGTTAGTTTCATATGATTTCTGCAATGATAAAATATACAAGAGCTTTAGCAATAGCACATGGGACCTCCAAAGCAATAAAAATTCAGTTATGAGAATTAGCTAGAGTATTAATAAACAGATAAATATTAATTACATAAAAATCAGGCAAAAAAAACTGTGTGTCAAGAGTCCATTACTATAGAAGTTAAAATAGAGTAAGAATTCACCCGTCAAAACCTAGTTTTCACTATAAATTTAGAAGAAATAAGAGGGAAGGGGGGAAAACTCTCAATAGCGTGTGGAAAACATCCAAATGTTGCTATTCTATATCTAATACGAACAAGTTATTAAAATATATAAATATTCAAGTTTAACCAGCAAAGCCTACAATTACATTAAAAATCGTCCCAGTCAATTTATCAAATTCTTAAATAGATTGTTTCACAAAGTTTGTTATTGTCTTGAATGCTTATGTGCATCAAAGCCAAATGCCACAATTGTTTCCCATTAGGAACCAACAAAATTCCTATTTTAAAAAGTTGGCAACATACAAGAGAAATTACTAAAGTAGGAAGAGTCACCAAACCCCTTTATTTTCATTTCTCTAATTTTCTCCATGATGGATACAAATGAATTATCACCAAAAGGAAAGCACAACGAGCATCCTTACTTAAAAAGAAAAAAAAAGGTCAAGCAAAATTCCAATTTTTTAAAGTTGCTTTTCAACAAATCGAATTCATTGACCTAAATTAAGCAAAGCAATAAACTTAATTAAGCTTCAATCGACTAAAACAGAACAAAGAAAATGAACTTAATTTATATGAAAAATTGCCCAAAAGCAAAAACCTAATTGACAAACAAGCTTATCTAGTCCAAATTTCCATTCATAATTGATATCCACCGATTTTCTCAGCAAGCAAACAGACCAGTATCCAGCTAGGGTTTTGCAAGCAAAAGAACAAAAAGAAAAAGAAGTGCGATCCAATAACAAAAAATAAGAAAGCAAAATACAAGTATAAATACCAACTAGAAATACGTAGATACGAACTCAAAAATGAGGGAGAAAAGAGAATCGAAGCCTTACGACAATGAGTTTGAAGAGGTTAGCTTCCTTCGGAGGCAACGAAGCTCCCATTGTTGAAGAAAATTAGAAAATTTTAGAAGAAAAACAAGAATCGTAAGAGAAAAAAAAATGAGAAGATTGAGACTTGATGAAGTGAGAGTTAGGGGCTTGCAAGAGAGAGAATAGAGTGGTGGCGTTATCTGCTGCTTCAACCCTACGGTCAACAAGAAGCTTGAACAAAAGTAAAATTAAAAAGGAATAAATAAATAACTTTTTGATTAATATATATGGGCCGTTGGTTCATTTGTCGACGGAAAATTACAAATTTTTATTAATTGATATCATAATCAGATATTTAACATATAAAATTAATAAAAATATAAATTATTTTTATCACTTTAATGTTTAATAGGTGTTAATTTAAAATTTAAATGATTATTATATGTTATATATACATTTAATCAAAATATATGTACATTTAAATATTGAGATGTAATTTTAACTTTTTATTAATTTTACTTATAAATATTTTTATTAATTATTTTATTATAAAATCAAATAATAAATATTTTTATAAAGTACTTAATTTTATAATTTCCTCCTTGTCTTTTTTCGTAAGCCCAATCATTTTCTAATCATTTATGCTAGTATAGATATCAATTAAAAATGTCATTTTGGCTTGTTTTCGAATCCAACATACTAAAAGACAACCTCAATCACTAATAAAATATGTTCGATTTTGATAAGCAAGCTATTTCAGAGTACAAACTAATCGAAAACAATTGGAGAAAACTTTCACTTCAAATAATAGCTAAACAAAAATAAAGTGAATACCAAAATTTGTCGTTTTAAATAATCATATTATCTTTGCATTACATGTTAAATCAAAGATCACAAAAATATTTAATTCTTATGATGATTTCAGAAAAGAAATAAAACCTATTTTTCTTCGGTTTGAAACTAGCAGGGAAGCCTGCTTTTATAAATTGTGTTACGAATTTTATGAATGACAACAGATAGGATATATGTTAATTTTAAGTATCCAATTTTTTTATTTATTAAAATATTTGAATTCAATAAATACTCAAATAATTTTTAATTTTATTATCTAAATCTAACTCACATAATATATAAAAAAAAACTCATTATTGTTCAAACTCATTAAATATTCGTTTATTAAGTTAAATTTTAAATTTTAAATTTAAATTTAAAATTGATTTTAAAAAATATTATTAAAAGAAATTAAATTAATAAATGAAAGTAATCCATATAAAATAAATAAAAGCTAAAATTATAAATTAAACATGAATGAATTAATTTAAGTATTACCTTCATAATAAATAATTTTTAAATAAATCTATAATATTAAAATATTATTATTTATAATCAAGTTCGGATAATTAGTACCCTTAAAACACTATCCGAACTTTATGGCAACCTACAACGAATTATAATATTTTACTATCGGAATACCGTCCAAGCCATACTACCCAAACCGACTTTTAGGATGCCCTAATCTTACCATCCAAATCCATACTACCTAAACCAGCTTAGAGGATGCCCTAATCCAACCTGTTGTTATCCCTAATAATTTGATAACAAGATCAAAGTAAGAGATGGGGCAAGTATGTTCATTATAAAGATGATTTTTTCTACTATCATATATGATGAAAGAAGAAATTTTCATCGTCAAGTACGGAGAGCCACCAAATATTCCAACTTTAGTTTGAAAATTTTACAACATGGTGAAGAGCAGAGAGTATATTCAAGAACAATACCAATCAAAACAATTTCG